TTATATAAAAAAATAAAATAAAAAAATTTTACAAAAATTATTTCTTGATAAATAAATAGCACTGGTGGTGGAGAAGTTATAAAATTTGGATTTGAATTCCCCTTCTCTCTCTCTCTCCAAATGAAATTTGAAACGGTGGGGGGTTGACAAGTGTACGTAAATCCCGTGGATCTGATCTGATCATTGGAACGACAAGATGACGCCGTGTTTTGGTGGCTTGGTTCCGCATCTCCTTATAAGATATAAGATATTCTCCTGCTTTGTCGTCACGTAACCATTTTTCTATTCCACAAGGACCAAACCAACCCTTAAGATTCTTCTTTTTCTCATTTCAGTCCCTAGTTTTGTCTGTCTCGTAAGGTAACCATTTTGCTGTATTTTCATAATTACCCCTTGCAATTCCTCTCTTTTTTCATTTTTCCGTCCCTTCTTGATGCTAATCATTGGTTGAATCTTAGGAAAGATCATCACGAGAATACTACAAAGTGAAATTGAAATGAAATAAAATTAGATCACGTTCCTCATTATTATTTATTGAAAGATAAAATAAAGTGGTTAATCATTCAAAATAAAAATAAGAGGTATTGAGTTTAAATTACATAGCATATGGGTGAGGTGAGTTAAGAGAAAGAGTTAAGAGAAAGAAGAATATTGTCTCTCATTATGTAATCCAAGATAAAAAAAAAAAAGAATAAATATATCCACATTTAATATCCAAAATGATAGTGATGAGCATAAAAAATGGTGTTTTCATTTTTTACTCATATTTCTAATGATTGATATGGATAAGTACTAATATAATAACAGGAATTATACAAGTAACTCAGTAGTAATTTTTTCTTAATAAAATTAAAAGATTTTAAATTTAAATTACATGACATGCGATAAGTATAGATTAAGAGATTAAAAAATGTTATTGTTCATCATGTAACATAAGATAAAAAAAAATTATAAGTTTTGTTGGTGAATACTTTACTTAAGACTTTTTCTCATAGGCCATATATAAACATGTAAAATTATTATAAATAATTAATTTTAATTAATATTTATATATTTTTAGTAATTTTAATTGATATTATATAATTTTGCTATAAGAAAAAAAGGAAAAAACCTTGGAGTCACAACATAGCCTAATACAACACTTCCAACAAAGTCATAATTATAATGCCATGATTATAAGTTTAGAATGATGATATAATGTTAAACAAATAAATGCATATAATACAGAGAAATGATACATACACCCTACAAAGTTATACACTTTATTACACATCAACGATTTTCGTTGCTTGTACCGTTAAAACTAACGGCTTTTATTATATATTAACGATTTTTATTAGTGTGTAACAGAATGTAACTCTGTAAGATATATATATTATTATCCTATAATATAACATGTAATCTCAAATAAAAAAAAAAGTGAATTATATAATAATATATTATGATTGTAAAGTTAGAATGTCACTTGACATTCTAATCATAACATTATCAATGTAAGAAATAAAGGAATTAAAGAATTTATATGATGACACTTGTTATAGTGATACAAACATCTTGCATGGATCTAAAATAGTAATTGTGTCTAACATAATTATAAAAAGAAATGAGAATCATAGGGTTATATGCATTAGAAAATAAGTGTTTCTTGTAAATAAATAAAAATAAGGTTCAACTCTTGAATATAACAAGTGTTCAAAAAATTATACTAAACTAACATGAGAAAATGTATACTTAAAATCAACTAAAATATCTAAACGTTCAAAAAGAATAAGAAAAAGGGAGAAATCATCTAGCAAAGGGATCTAAACATGTCTAACCATGCTAGAATCAATTAGAATTGGAATATAAGATCTCTTTGAATCTAGGAAACAACTTCCTCTCCATTTTACGAAATGAATGAGGACCCAAATGAATAATTGAAAACTTGGTGGATTCCCCTTGCCTTTTCCCCAATTTTTCGCTTACAAAGCAATCAAATATTGACATTAACATGGGCTCTTCCTCTTTCTCAAACCGAAAAAAAAAAAAACAAAGCAAAGAACCCCTGCCTTTTCTCCCCTCTTCCTCCTGCTCTTCCTCCTCCGTTGAAGGTCAAACACGCAACCTGCAAAATCCAACTACCGCCATCACCGTCGACGACGCTGCTGTATCCAATTCCTCTTATGCTATTGCCGATCGTTTTCTTCCGCTTCCCGGTAACTCCCCGGTGGCCGGTAAAAGAGACAGTTGGAGGATTTTTTTACTATGAAGAGCGGCGTCAACAACGGCAGCAGCAGTAGCAATGGATACAAGGGTGCCCATAATAATAAGAGCAATAATAATGGGTTTTTGCCCACTTCTTTGAAATTCATTTCCTCTTGCATAAAAACCGCTTCTTCTGGAGTTCGGTCGGCCGGCGCCTCCGTCGCCGCTTCTTTATCGGGCGATGCCCAAGACCAACTCAAAGACCAGGTCTCCTTAATTGTCCTTATAATTTTAATTATTTAGTTAGTTAATTTGCAATTACTCATTTAGATTATTTTGGGGAATTTTTTTTTCATGGAGGAGAAATTTCTGATTTTAGGGCTTTTGCGTATTTGAAGACTGAATTTGAAGGAGAGTAGAGGGTATGGATTTTTGGAGTTTGTTGTTTTGTTTGGTTGCTGGGAAAAGGCAGAAGAAAATGGAGAGAAAAGTGAATGTTAAGAAGTTGTTCCGTTTCTTAAGTATTTGCTTACCTGCAATGAGTTGTTTGGTTGCTGATAAAGTTTGGGAAGAAACTGAAAATTTAGTGGAATTTGGTGATGAAATGAATTGGTCCCCTTGGATGGTATAATGTGGACTTATTGCTCGGTTCTTTAAATTTCTATACTTTCTTATTCGAGGCATTGGCAGAAAGAGGGATATAATTTTATCATATTTGTGAATTACTGTCAAACTGTAATTTTGGTTCTGAGAAATGCAAAGGAAAGAAATGGAGATGTGGATAATGATTATTGAAATTGATGGTTTTTAATTTGGAGGCCTATAGGAATATTTATTTTCATGTGCTGTTTCTGTCATTTTAATAGCAACTGGATGGAGCATGGATTCTGTTTGTTGAAAAAGATGGTTTGCAATGTTATTTAGAGGGTCAGAAATGAATTAAGTCTTGAATGATTACTTGTTAAGGTAAATGGAAGATGAATTATATGATAGGCTATCTATTGTTGGACTTCGTTTTATATATCTTTAAATTCTGAATTTTTTTTAACATATTTTTAGTAGATAGACAAAGGGTTAGTTATTTAATGCTAGTATACTGAGTAAATAATTATGATAGAAAGAAAAGATAGTTCTTTATTGCAGGGTTATTGACTTGGAAAATTAGTATCAGTTAATCAAGTTGCTAAATTAAATGTGATTTATAGAGGTGGAGTGCAGGACCATATGCGTGCTTTTATCTTCTTATTTAGCTCCATTTGGTGCATCTATAGCTCAAGCAAAACACCTTCTTTCTTGCAATTTTTTTTTTTTTTTTAATTTTTTTCCCATAATATGTGCTTACTTTAAATTTTAGTTGTTACCTTGGCCATCAGCCTTATTTGAATTTGTTTGGTGAAACAGGTGCTCTGGGCATCCTTTGACAGACTAGAGCTTGGTTCATGGTCTTTCAAACGTGTTCTCTTAGTTGGGTACTCAAATGGCTTTCAAGTCCTGGACGTTGAGGATGCCTCTAATGTCAGTGAAATTGTTTCAAGGCGTGATGATCCAGTTACATTTTTACAGATGCAGCCTCGCCCTGAAGAGTGCCAGGGTAATGAAGGATTTAAGGCATCACATCCTTTACTTTTGGTTGTTGCTTGTGATGAATCAAAGACCTCTGCTCTGGTTCTTGGTGGAAGAGATGGGTTAGCCAGAGATGGTTTTGATGAGCCCCAAACAGGAAATATTCCCATCTCTCCTACAGCTGTTCGGTTCTATTCATTGAGGTCTCACAATTATGTTCATGTTTTGAGATTCCGTTCAACTGTCTATATGGTTAGATGCAGTCCTCGGATAGTTGCTGTCAGTCTTGCAACACAAGTAAGCTTTAGCTACTTTTAGTTGTTGTCTTTTCAAACATACTATTGAACACTTCTATTCTGTGGTTACCACTTACCAATTTTAAGCATTTACCCCAGATGAATTGGAATGGATTAAGTGATTTTCATATCCTTTATATTTATGTTTGTTGTTTTAAGTTCTATCTAAAACTGAAAGTCTTTTGGATGCCTGGGTCACAACTTGTAACTTATCAGACTTTAATTTATAAATGAGGGCAAGCAATTTGAAATTGGCTAATTTCTATTTATTTAATTGCAGATATACTGCTTCGATGCTCTCACTCTTGAAAATAAATTCAGTGTCCTCACCTATCCTGTCCCTCAAATGGGAGTCCAAGGAATGATTGGGGTTAATAGTGGTTATGGTCCAATGGCTGTGGGTGCTAGATGGTTAGCTTATGCTTCCAACAATCCTTTGCATTCAAATACAGGTCGCCTGAGCCCACAGAGCCTTAGTCCTTCTCCTGGTGTAAGCCCATCAACTTCACCCAGCAATGGTAGTCTTGTGGCTCGATATGCCATGGAATCTAGCAAGCAATTAGCCACCGGGTTAATCAATCTAGGTGACATGGGCTATAAAACGTTGTCAAAATACTATCAAGATCTTGTTCCTGATGGTTCTGGTTCTCCAATATCCTCAAGTTCAGGCTGGAAAGTTGGTCGGGGGGCCTCTCATGCTACTGAGACGGATACTGCTGGGATGGTCAGTTTCGATCATATGTGAAATAAAATTTCTTAGTTTACATGAAAAGTAATGATTGCTGCACATTATGTCCAACTGCATCTGATTGCCAGTCATTCTCAGTTCTGTTTTTATGTTCTGTCATTTTGTGTTCGAGATCATGTGTTCAACTTCAGTTTACTCAGAATTTTGCCCAAAAGTTCTTTGTTTCACTAACTTCAGGAATGTGAGGCCGATTGAAAAAAAAAAAAA